CTCTGCCCTGGTTCTGCTTTGCCTGGTATTCTGTGCTATTGCTCAAATTCCATTATCTTTTTTGTTTTAATTTTTTAATGAATTTTTAGAAGCCCACTCATATATAGGCATGATATCATCAACATAATTAAGGCAATGAACACATCTATAAAGCTCCGTATTCCACTATGTAATCTACTATTTCCAACCTCAGGTATCACTACTTGATATTTCCATCCCCACGTATTAATTTAGATACCTTACATTATATAGATTGCTCTTCATTTTCTAGAATTTTATTTAAAGGGAAATTCTTCATTGTCAATCTTATTGTACTCATGGGGATTTCTGCAACTCACCCATGTTGTGATTTGTATTAATAGTTGATTCCTTTTTATTGATGAGTAACACTCTATTGTGTAAAATATCACAGTTGGTTTATTTATTCACTTGCTAATAGGGATTTTGATTGTGTACATAATGAGCTCATATTTTCATTAATCTTGGGTCAAATATGTAAAAATAGAATAAATGGAAATATATGGTTGATGACTTAGGATTTTCCAGAGAAACAAAGTCAATGAGCTAGATAACTAGAGAGATAGGCATACAGTCTGACAGAAAGATAGATTTATTTTAAAAACAGGTTCATGTGAGTATATGCAAAATCTGTAGGTCTGGTGACAGGTGGAAATTTGGGGAGGATATCTGTTTATAATCATGAAGCACAATTCATATTTCTCAGAAAAACCTCAGTGTTTTGTTGTTTGATTTTTTTGTTGTTGTTCCTTTAAGGCCTTCACTTGATTATATGAGGCCAACCTATATTACAAAGGATAACCTATTTTGTTTAATGTTAATTAATTTAAATGTTGATCTAGACAAGTTATTTGACCAAACAAGTAGGTACCAAAGCCTAATTATGCTGCCCCATAAAATTAACCACCACAATAGGTGTATGTTTAATTTTTTTATGAAAACATCACTTCCAAGAGATTATGCTACTTATACACTACTGATAAAATTATAAAATGGTGTGGCCACTAGAAAAAATGGGGATTACATAAAAAAGTTAAACACAGAACTACCTTGATGTTGTTAGGTGCCGTAGAGTCGGTTCCAAAG